TTTGAACAAGTGTAAAAGAGATACAGAACAAGAATGAAAACAAAGATGAGAAAAAATAAGGCACTGACCTAGCCTGATACTGAGTGTGTGTATGTCATAAAAGATGGGAAAAACAATAAACGTTCACATTTGACAGATACGAAAATTGAATTTGAAAGAGAGACAGAGAAAACATTTCAGAGACCACTGACACTCATCCAAAACAATCCATAATTTATCAGTTTATGGTCAAAAACCATTAATAACCGAAGAGAGAAGAAAAACAGGCAACGGGAGCAGCAACAACAACCAACGCGTTCCATTCCGTTAAAAAAACATATTCGTACCAAATTTGTTCTTTCGCTTCCGTGGTTTTGGGAGAGATTGCATCACGATATTTCGGTGTCTGTGAAAAAAAAAAACAAAGTGAACGAATTGCTTTCGACATATGGAAAGGACTCCCTTTTATAAGATGTGAATTGAAAAACGACGGCGGGTCACACACAAACACAAAAGACTCAAATAAACACATTCAACAAATAGAAAAGTGCACACACAATATGCCAAGTTAACCAACACATTACCCGATTGCCTAATAGCATTACAATATCAACTTTGGAAAATGAAATCTAAAGCGAATACACACAACGGTTGGAATAAGTCGAATGAATTTCGATCTGGCATCAAACAACAGTATCAATAGCACGAAATGTTTTGTGTGCCAAGCTCAATATACACATCATTTGTTTTTTTTTCTTTGCTTGTGTATCCTATGTCGTAGAGCATTCCACCGACCAAGGAAAAATCAACAACAACAAAAAAGTAGGAAAATTTGTTGAATTCCTTACACATTTTTTTCACGAATGGAAATTGCGACTTAAATCGTATTTTAACATTGTAGCGCTTCAAATTTAATGCACAAATTTTAAGTGAACTTATTGTTTCCGTTCTTTTTTCCTTCATTTATTCTTTTGCTTGCGATTTACTTTATATTATTTTAAACAGTTTTGTGGTGTACACGGTGCACGGGTGTTGTTTGGGTGTGTTTTTTCATTCTTCAAAAAACCATTCGTCGCATAATGTAATGCTGCCAATGAACTCGTGTGCTGTGGGTTTTCGTTTGGTTTGTGTGTTTCTTTGCATAGCGCAGTGGTGGAATGAAAGAAGGCAAAATTTGATTGATGAATGTCGTATTCTTTGCTGTCGAACTGAATGTAATATCCTCTTTATTTTGAATATTCTACATACAACCAATAACACCGGTGGCGGTGGTCGTAACATGGAAAATGTGTTACATTTGACAGAATTACATACATTTTCAAAGATATTTGCATATGGGTTTTTTTTCTCTCGTTGAAACTGCAATCGAAATTTCATTTAAAACATTTCACTGGAACCATTGGCATCCGTTTGCTTTCTACTGTTTCATTTTCCGAAATGAAATGAAATGGAATTTATTAATTTTGTATGTGTGTGCTTATGTGTATATATTGTTCAAAGCGCCACTTGGTTGTTTTTTCTACTCCGTTTTGAACTTGGAACATGGAATGCTGCACAATCTGGCCCCGATCGAGAGAGTGAATGGAAATCGATACCGAAACCGATTTTAAATGTATTTGCGATTACCATTGTAAATTGTCGCTTCATTCTTTCAAATGTGTACGAAATCCATTAATTTTGTATGCGACTCTGACGCATCGACCTTCTTTCAAAACTGAATTCCAAACTCGGATTTGATTAATCATTTCTTCTTCGTTTTGGCTCTCTTTCTCTCTTCCTCTCATTTCATTCAGACGTGGTATGATTCAATAATAACAAGTGACGTAGATGAGAAATAAAATGACTGTTATTGAATTAAATTGAATGGATAAACACAATCAGATGTGGAGCATTATTCGATTGAAACTGGAAACGGTAAGGCATTGATTATGCCAGAACACAGTATATTGAACAATTGAATTGAAGAGAATCAGTTGGAAGAATTGGCAAAAATCGATTGATCTACGTCGACACGCGGTATACAAAAGGTGTTCATTAGCGATTCTCGCAAATTCGAATGGATTTTTAAAAAAACACCACAGCCAAAGGTCGAATTGATTTAAATTCTATTCCAAACTTTGTGGAATCGGCGTATCTATCTCTGTGTGAAAGAGTCGAAATGTCCAGAGTTGTTCAGAGTTCAGTGAGTCAATTACATTTCAAAGACAGCCGCGACAAACACTTGTTTCACAACGTCATCGTGACTCCAATGCAACGAATTCGGCGGCTCTCGCAATCTGTGCGTGTGGGGAATCGTGTCAAAAGATTGAAAGGAACGCGTGCGAATGATATATAAACAAAACGAATCACATTCAAATTCATCGGCTGAGAATTCAAATGTTTGTTTCGCGCCTGTCTCTTGCATCAAAGACGCATCGATGAAAGCATTTGTATACTCAACCGACATTCGAACGAATTCATTTGATTTGCATTGTACGTTTGTCGTATTCAAGTGTGCACATTTGCTTGGTGCTCTTTTTTCTTATTTTCGATGATGGATCCGATCTACATGTTAAAAAATTGTAATGAATATAGTATAAGAACTATATACAGACGAAGAAAAGAAACGAGCAAACCATTAATCTTCTTTATGAATACAACATACAATTTCGATGGCAAGTGTAAGTTGTGTGCAGTCAATTCATATAAATGCTTGAGCTTAAGTATAAACAGAAAATGAGAAGAGCATGGAGAGCACTTTGTAATAAACACAATATTCTGCTGTCCCTTGAGAACTAACGCAGCTATCATCACACACACAAATTCAGGCACGAAAAATAATATTTATCAAATTGAAGAAATAAACCATCTTACGTGAAACACAAAAACAAAGCGCGTGCGGTCGATTTGTAGGCAACACATTTTAAGCTGCGAAAAGCGAATGCAAGAGAAAGAAAAGAAAAAATTTATATACAAAACTATTAAGTTGCTTGACATTTTGTGGTTGCATACGGTCGCAAGGTGTGCGATGTGTGATATTTTCCAACATTTAACAGATACCAATTACAAATCCATCAACGGCCAGTCACATCAAAATGTTCACTAAGCGATTCTTTTCGGTCGTTTTCTTTTAATTAACTCAACAGATATTTATCGGAAACAAAAGCGTGGAAATTTGTTTGTAATAAGTGAAAATCTCCCGGCGATCGGTATAACGCATTGAACACCGATGTTGAAGATTAAATATGTTAAAATGGTTGCATTTTTTCATAAATCGACTCCCGGAATGCTTTTGAAGTGAAAAAAAAATGATTTCGATTCAAGACTTTGATCCGATATCCCATTTGAGAATTTTCAACCATTTCTTGTTATTTTCAAATGAAATGAAAACTTTGTTACGCAAAATGTGACTGTCTTTGCGAAAACCAATTTAAGGGATTAAAACAAAATCTAATAAATCATAGTAGAAAAAAAACTCGTAAATTTCGGTGACAACAACCAAAAAGATGATATGTTTGATGAGAGTGCCAGAGCTCACTACTTGTTTATAAAAAATGAATTTGAAATGATGTTTGGAACGTGGTCGGTTTGTGGTTTTTCATTTGACACATATATATTTATTAAATCGATGTGAAACGAGTCAAAAAACATGTGTTCCTTTTGTTTAAATATCATGCCAAAGTTTTAGAATCTTTATGTTTAAAATATCATTAATAAATTTGTCACCACATCCACAGATGAGTTGGTTGACATATCGCACACAAAGCGTGCACAAGAGAGATCAGACGTTGTCGAGAGAAGAGAAAAAAAATTATTTTTGAAATCCATCGGCAGACATATTATGAACTGTGTGTAGAGAAAAAAAGCGTCAGTCACATGGATTAAGTCAAAAAAGAGATAATTTGTGACAAAATGCAGGAAAGACGCAATGAGAAAAAATTGCCGGGCATTTTAAGCGTGTTAAAGTCATTTTCGATTTGCTTGTCTTGAAACGGAAGTGAGTTGGTGTTCAACGGACGCCTGATGCAATCGTAATTTAAAGTAAATGGCGCAGCAAAGAGAGTCAATAGCCAAACGCAAATCGACACGATATAAATCTATCGACAAACCACAACATTTACAATGCAATGGACAATAAATTTCAAATGACAGTGACTATTAATTAGTCGTAATTAAGAGGGATTAGAAACGCGTAATACATGAACATGTTCGGATTTCAGTTGACCGAATCCGTTTAAATATATATTTTTTTTGTACAATTTGCAGACAAAACAAAGGCCAGTCGCAAAATTCGCTTTTTCAACTTGATACACTTAAAACACTAATCATTTATGATTGAATATGTGTAATATGCGCAAGCAACGGCATCACATGTGGAACAGATATTAATGACTTTTCATGGCTGTTGAATATGAGAAGGGATTATAAGAATGTGCTCAAATTAACTCCTCATTTCGAAAAATGTATCAGGTCACTTCTAGGAGTTTTAAAAAAAAAAATCGTCTTAAAAACGAATTCACTTTCGATCGTCATAGATTCAATCTTATTTCAATGTTACATGCGATTCATCTTTTTCCACGTCATTTTAATTGAAGCGATCGTTATGTAGTACACGCATAATTATAAACAATCTGTATGATGAAAAGTGGTTGAAATATTATGTCAGCTGAGAAGAGACGAGGGGGACAAATTCAATCTTATGACGGAGAGTAATTCTCCCGAAACTGAAGATATTCGTCAAATATTTTCCATAATTTTCGATGTAAAAATCGAATCATAATGGGGGGTAGACTGTAGACTGTAGTGTCTTTGGCTCGAAAATGGTTGTAAGAGACTTCTTGACTTTTAAGTTTCAATTGCATTAATTAAAGCGGTACATTGACACGCGAAATACTGTTTCCAAAAGTAATAAATCATCGTTGTTTCATATTTTTTTCGCGCATATATATAAACATTACAGCATCTATGATTAACTTTATTAATGTCTCCTTTTCAATTGTTTCATTTTTTTCTGTCTATTTTTTTCATTGTCTACATTTTAGGTACAGTAAATGCAAATGGTGAAACAAAACGGCAACGAACATCGTATACGCGCTATCAAACGCTCGAATTGGAAAAGGAATTTCATTTCAATCGTTACCTGACCCGTCGACGACGCATCGAAATCGCCCATGCCCTGTGTCTCACCGAGCGTCAAATTAAAATTTGGTTTCAGAATCGTCGCATGAAATGGAAAAAAGAGCATAAAATGGCATCGATGAACATTGTACCTTATCATATGTCACCGTACGGTCATCCATACCAATTCGATATTCATCCGTCACAATTTGCTCATTTGAGCGCATAGGACGCGTGGCACTTTTCGAGTACTGGTTAGAGACTCAATCAGCTGTATCAACAGGAACCATATCAAGGCTACCAGAATAATCAGGATAGTTCGAATAATACGATATTCAATCATTCTGATTCTTCTAAGTATCCACAAGAGTTCTGATCAGACGACACAGTATAGAAAGAAATTCGATGCGTACACAGCATTGGGCTATGACTATATTGTGCTCGGCACCACAATCAGCTGCTATTGGGCGTGCATCCATTGAAAATGACGATGCACACAATTGCAAAGACACACAGTGCCAATGTGCGCACCGTCATTTTGAACGAATGCAATTTGATTTATATCACTGGCAAAGTACACGAGTTGCTATCGCTGAAAATCCTATTTATTCTTTTCGTTTAGTTTTTCTTTTTCATTTTACACACAATATTTGCAATTAGCTATTCCGTTTCCAACATTTTTTGGTCTTAATTTTAATTACGATTATTAAATGTATAATTTTTAGTTTTGCCACACAAAAAATCAATCAATCATAATATTCCAAATAAACAATGAATAAAAAAAAAACAAATTCAAATTTATGTTCCCGCACATCCTCCAGCGAACATAACAGTTCGTGTACTTTTCTGTAAATAGCCTGTTCGTAGTTTAGGAAGTCATTTGCAAAATCGTCGAAAAACTGAATAAATCCGATGTGACACATCAATCATATGTTCATGCTTTTCGAGCGATTTTGATGATGACGAATGTTTTCGTTTGTTCGAAGCCAGTGTTTGAATCATTTTCTCCAAATCAGTATTCGAAAAGCATTTAGTATGTAAGACATTTTAGTTTTTGTAAGATGAAAATGACTTAAAAAAACAAATCCTTTTTCTCTTTTTAACGATATATTTGATTGCCCGAGAATGAAAGCGAGACTTCTATTCACAACTTATTGAATTGTAACACCACACTGACAGTCAGCACTTTTTGTATGGCGGTGTTACATTTAAATAAGTTGTGAATAGAAGTCTCGCTTTCATTCTCGGACATTCATATATGAAAATGCATTCATTGTAAGATGTGCAACACAGTGACACTAAGGAAAATAGAGAGCGAAAGAGAGTGTGTGTGTATAAATTCATCATCATTTGTTACATTTGCATATAATAACCGAGTTTTCACAACTGAATGATTTCTATATCATATCGAGATATCATTTAATTGTAAAATCAATTTAACTATGTTTTTTCATTCATTTTTTTTAATTTCTTGTTGCTATTACATATTTGCATATTTACATAGCCTGACGCCGACTTCTAGATCCATCGAATTTATTATTTTTTTACATTTTGTTCCGTTCAATTTACAATAATTTTGTTATTAAGATTTTACAATTATTTTTTGCTCCGTTTTTTTTTAATGTTTTATTTGTAAATATTATATAATTTTTTAATGTGGTTCGAAATCGTTGCAAGTAACAACAAAAAAAAAAAAGATTTGAAAAACCTTTTGCTTATACATAAAATAGATTAAATAGTAATTTAAACGAAAAAAAAACTATACCGACAACAAATTCGGATGTCACAGGGCTTATTTTATTTGATTTTCTTTACGTTCAACTGACAGTATTGTAATACATTGATTTTCGACCGTTTCTTTTTTGCTTTCTTCTGATTCGTTCGACGAACATAAAAAAAACACGCGCAATATAGTTGCTGAACAATAACAGAAACACACGTCAAGATATAAAAAAAAAGAAATCATATAGAATTGAAATGTTTAGTATTTAAATGAAAATGGCAAATTGCAAAGTACTTCGTAATTAATGGCATATTATTTATAGATTGATGTAAATAGGAAGCTAAAATGGATCGTCTACCGTGATGATTTCATCAAGAAACAATTGTGTAAATTAGACATGTTTATTTTGTGTTCTTTAATCTAAATCGAATGCTCAAAAAAACCACATGAGACGAACAAAAAAAAAATGAACAAAATTTTTTTTTGCCAGTGACGACCGATTTACAATTTGATGAGAAAAAAATGCAATAAATGAAATCACCTGATGTTTATGTCCCCTCACTTTATTTCTGACTTGGTCAAACCACCGATAGAAATAAACATACAATGTTTGAACGAGAGAAATGACACACACGCAATGTGAACATCACTAATGAATTCAGTTGATTTACTATAAGTTTTGAATATTGTTTTAAATATTTAACATTAATGAACAACAAAATGAATGAATAACGCACCTGATTTAAAGTACGTCTTGACCGAAAGTGATTTTTTTTCTGTTTGTTTGTCCTTTAAGTAAAAGTGTACATGTAACGTAATTTAATAATAATAATCACTGTAATTAAATCAGAGAGCGTGTTTGAAAGATAGAATGCAAAGCTGGAGATATAAATCCGTTAAAAAAAAATAATATAAATGAAATGCACTGTATAGAGAATAAGCTGAATTAAAATAAGAAATTTTGTTGGTCGTGATCTCACGAAAAAAGAAATCTCTAATTATATTTTAAAAAAACCACACACACTGTCGAACAAAAAAAACTTTTTTTATTTGCATTTGTCAACGCAATGTGTGTATGTGAGACAGTATTTTGTATTTGACTCTTGGTGTCAATGTTGACAAATGAATAGCAATAATAAAGCGAGTATTTTCATTGATGGATGATTGAACACAATACACATATATTAAATAATTTTTAGTAAAGATTTTTAGAATTGAGAGAACAAATGCTATGGATTTAGATTCATATATATAAATGAATGCTACAAAATAACTACACTTAAAAAAAACTCTATATCTTATATATATAATCTAATAAAACAAAATGAAGAACAAAAACACTTAACGATAAGACTATTTGATAGGATTTTAGTTTGTCCTTTGAAGAATATGAAAATGAAAGAAAACAATTAGTTAAGGCTCTCTATGTGTAATGTGTATTTTTGAATACTGTATCAAAAAAAGGACAAGATTTAAGAACAACAACAACAAAATGACAACTAAATAAAATTATTTGACATTAAATAACAATGGAAAAATATATAGTTATTTTAAGCAAACTCAGACGGATTGGAACAAAACAATCTCTACTACAAATTTAAAAAATAAATAAATCTTTTAATAGAACAATTTTAATTGTAATTCTCGAAATGTAAAACTTTATTACAACATGGTAATCCACAATTTTAGAATGGAAATCCACATTCACTATAATATATTATAGAATGAAGACGCTGATTCAAAGACCACTTTCTTCAATGAAAATTGTGAACTATTTTTGATCGAAAAAATAGATACATTTTGACTTTGGTGGTCTTTTTCATCTCACCAAAGAGTCATTCGCTTTTTCTTTGTTTGGAAAATGATGTCTTCTATCACACAAAATACACGTTTGATTGCTCGAAATTACTTTTTTTGATACAGTTGCAGTTGGGTTTTGGATAAAAAATGTTTGAATTGATTAACATGTACTATTTTCACCCTGATAAAAATAAGAATGATTTATTAAATTCAAATTAGTTAAATGCATGAAAAAACTCAGATTTCACTGTGAGTTTTATAAAAACACATAAACAAAAACTCAAATCAAGATTATGTAAACTGCATTCCATGTGTATACTCAAAAACTCAAAAATAAATTATGTAACAAATAAAATGTAAAAAGTGCGTATTTCACTCTCTCTTTCTCTCTCTCTCTCTCTCTCTCTCTCTCTCTCTCTCTCTCTCTCTGTATGTGCTTCCGTTATCAGATTTATGGACACTAGAAAATATAGGTAATCTGATTGACATAGCATATGTTCTTTATATACAAACTTAAAATCTACCCATTGAGTTGTTTCACATTTGAAAAGTACGCTTTTTTCGACGTGTCCATCTATCGTAAGACACTTGAAACCGACCAGTTCTACTACTGCAGTTGAATGTGTGCTTCTAAAAGCAACGGCAAAAGCTGCTGAAAGCGATCGGAACAGGTTTGACATTTTCTCATCCAGCTTTCGGTAGCGCTGCATATTTTCGATTTTCGGCGAACAATCGTTTAATACTGAATTCAATCATACTAACATTGAAAGAATATTATAGTTTTTTCTATGCCCAATTTTTAATTTCTCATTTAAAATCCGAAGCAAAGTCAAAGTACGAATGCATCATATAGTGATTCATTTTTACTAGATAATGTTTGAAGAGAGAAAGAAGTCAATAATGTTGAAAGTCTGCAAAAAGCCATTATCATGCGCATTGTTTTCGTTTGCATAGTAAATTCCATTTGAGAATGTGTCGCCGTTGAATAGAAAAGTGAAGCAGTGAACGACAAGAGAGCGCGCGGATACATATAAACTTTTCAATATATATATTTTTTTGTGTGTTTCTCTCATTTCGCTGTGCTCATTTATGTGTGCATTGCACATGGAAGCGCGATTTTTAACTCTGAAGTTCACATGCTCTGCTGATAGCAGGGCGTCAGTATGAACAATACGTGCAAATGAAAGAGACACTCGTATATTGTTTTCCGGCGTTTTCTAAAACGAAGTTTTGGACACAAATAAAAACTGCTCTGAATACATGTAATGTGTTGAGGCGCAAAAGTATTTTTGTTCGATGAAGCAATGCTTGGTGTCGATGTTCAATCGGCAATTTGTTCATGTTGTCGTCACCGTTCATTGTACCAATCCCAATTGAATTTAGAATAACAAAGTCAACTTTACTTCTGATTCATTGTATATGGTCTATATCGAATGCATGACCGTATTCGGTATGTGTATGTGCCTTTGCTGTGTATGTGTGTTATTCATGCTTATAATCGTTTCTGTTTCGCTCACGCTTGGTGGTAAAATGTGAAAGAAAAAGCAGCGCAAACAACATAGCGCGGCGAATATCTGAGACACATTCAACTTTTTTCCATATACAAAACGGTTTCAGTTGAAAAGTTGACTTCTCGACATTCACACACAACATCGGGGCGCACACAGAAGACGAGCACACCACAGAAGATACACAATCAACATCATCGAATCGAAGACTTAAAAATATATATACCAATACACAAAATCGAGACACACAATGTATAAAATACAATCATCACATTGTCCACAATATACGTGAAACTAAATGTTTTTTTTTTCATTTCGTTTTGTTGCTGTTCTTTCATTCTCTTTTCACTCGCGACATTGAATTGCGACGTGTTTATGTTCATTTTGATTTTGCACTTAATTGTTTGTAAATCATAAAAAAGACGAGCAACAGCGCAAACAAACAACGGTTTTCTTCAATTTTTATTATATTGTGATCCGCATACGAGAAAAACGGTGAGGCGTCAGGACACCAACCATGATGATTGACTGAAAAGTGGCTCGTAAACATAAAAATCAAGTAAGTTCACGCTCTTTTATACCTCTTTCAAATAGACATAATTTTCAATGTGTATTTTTAAACGTAAGCGCTTGTCGCTGATGTTCGTTAATGTCGTTCGGTTTTTTTTGCTTTTTGTTTCAAAATTTTCATGAAAATACTTATTGTAAATTGCAAACACACCTTTTGAAAGTTTTTGATGACTTTGCGTACATAAGCAGCACCAGCATCCAAGTCCATAAGCATTCACAAAGTTAATCATTATTTTATGAAGATAATTTTTGTTGTTGTTGTTTGCCGTTGAGCACCTGTGCCCAAACCAAAAAAGCAAAAATTATTTCCGAAAATATACACAATCACCATTTTATGGCCTCAAAATCGAGCATGAGTCAGATAGGAGCAAATGAAGAAAAATGAGCAATATCGTGATTCTTGTGCTGCTTACGCATGTTTACGATCAAACAACCGAACGTGAACGACACACATTTTTGCCAGAACAAGAGCCACAGTTCTTTTGATTTTGGTTGCCTTTGGGCAATAAAAGTTAATCTTATATAAATTCTTTTTAATTGCCGACATACAATACAGATAATAAATTACAATAGGATAATTTATGGTTTTTTTTTCTCGTTTGTTCGTTTGTTTCTCGTAACTTTGTTTCCAAAACTAAACTATATACATTAAAAAAAAGGCACAACGAAAATTGTTCGGTGCCTGAAAACTGGCTGGCATAAATATGTGACGCAGTGTGTGTAGTGAAAGAATTTCGTTTTTTGTTGTTGTTGTTATTTTGTTGTTAGAATCTCTGTTCTTCGTCTTTCAAATTTGTTGGTCGTCCTTGTTCTTCATAGTTTTCTTCTTTTTTTCCTTGTTTTAAGACAAAAACCATGTTCACAATCACCAAATTCAAACTGCTTTATGAACATGAAGAATGAATGCTTTTATATTTAACGGAAATCGAGTCTTCGAAACATCCTGAAAATTCAATTTAATTTCATCCGAAAGTTCTCCGTAAAATTCTCTACGCTATTGGGCAAATAGATGGAGAAATGATTCTAATTGATTTAATTTATTTCAACCCTGTGTTTGGTGTGGTTGGTCGGTTATTGCAATCTAACCGAAAATAGCAACAACAACAGGATGTGCATTTGTAAATGAGCTCGATGGCTGCATTTATCAAAATAAAGTTATGCATAACCAAAAATATTTCTCTTCCTTGCGACACAAAATGTTGCCATTATCGCTGTAACTGCAGCATTACCCAAATAGTGTATCTATTTGTTGGGAAATATTGGTATATATGTATATTTATAAAGCGGCATATCGAATCGGTGACTGTTCGGCCGTTCAACGCATTCTATTGTCCTGAATTATATAATGTAGAGGCAACCAAATAGAAATATGGTATCTGTGTATGAGTGTGCATAGGCGGTAAATGGTCTGACATTTTTGGTAACAAATTTTCCTTTTTTTTTGAATTGTGTGGTGTTTTTTATTTTCTATCTAAAAAATACATTGAACAAGAACCATTTAAACTGTTTTAAAGAACATGCTTTAAAAAGAGAAAAAGGTGTATGTAGGTAATCGAATAAAAAAAAAACTAGTGGCAAAGAGATAGAAAAAAGGCATGTGATGAAGGTAGAGCGTAGAACAACATCCACCTATACTGTACATGTAGAAGCTGAAATGCGAGCTCTTATGTATTGACACACAAATGTACACACTCACTTTGTCTCTCACTCACTCACTCGTTCGCTCGCTCTAGCTATATCGAGTGTGTGCTTGAATATACGCATACAGAACCAAAATGGCAGGGATAAGTACGCATACACGCGCATCAAATAGGATACTACTCTACATGTTTATAGAGCGCGCTCCTCGTACATTTGCCGAAAGGTACTACTATATATATAGACTATAGAGCATACATATACTTTTTCCCATCATTGTTGTTCTGCTTCTTCTTCTCTCCCTCTCTCTCTCTCAACCATTGTATTCGACTGTGCAGCACAGCAAGGGGACGTTTCATATGCAATAAAATATTTTATGTGACGTCACAAA